TTCAGGGCGATTTGATCGCGGGCGGTGAGCTCTGCTGTAGATTCTGCTCCCCGCTGTAGCTCCACAACGAGAGACGCCCACAGGATGACCAGGGTATCGGCTTGTAGCTACGGGCTAGGCCTTCAATTCAAGTCACGCAGCAAGCTCCACCTCTCAGCGGTAGTCCCGCTACAGCGCATCGCGCAATCTCGCTCTCAATCAGAAACTTCGCTCTCAATCACACGAAAACCTTGTTTGTTGCACTTTTAAAGCGAGATGTTTTTTTTCGGTGCATCAGTTCGCGGTCGCCTTGAGACTTTCGTTTTTCGCCGGCTGTTGCCCGCTGCAGCGGGCCAGTCTCTGGATCACAGCGCCCCTGCCGCGATCTTGAGACTCCCAAGCGCAGTAGAGTTACAGCACGGTGAATGCAGGCAACTACTTCTTCAGTCAATGAGCTAGACGTTGCGGTGCGGTGAATCGTTTTTTTTTTGTTGTTATTTGGCGTTTAAACATTTTTTTCGGCCATATTCGCCGACGTGGGTGTGCAACTCTCACGATCAAAGCGCCCCTGTAGCGAGCACGAGACTCCAAGGGCGAGCCGAGTTACAGCACCGTGAAGTACGACCGAATCTCCTGTATCCGGGCGCGTCTACGGTAGCGACTGTCACCTCAAAGAATCACGCAGCTCACTGGGCGAGGTTTTGGAGAACGTCAACTCATAAACCATGACCGACCACCACGTTGTTGTCGTTACATGTACCACCGACGGCCCTTCATTCTGTTGTAATTATGCCGCGCGGTGTCAACTACATATCGACAGACTGCTGTCGTCACATTCTCTAGCGTAAGCAACGCGAACTGAAGTAATTTCTTCCAAGTGCTCACGTGCATCGTGTATCTTCGCGTACGTGCACACGACCCGTATATTTGCCTGAAACACACTCACACCCTCTAGTGGCACGTACAGGTCTAAACTGCTGCTGTAGAAATGACTTGGACAGGGTTACCGTACGCCACAGCTGGCTTGTGGTTTGAGTTTTCGAACATGCATGCACATCTCACGGAAAACAGCAAGTTTCTTTGTCTTCTGAAAATACTCTCAACGATGCTGTACAGTAGAATGGAAGATGCTGCTGTAGTCAATGCACTCCACCGTTTACAGGTGAACGGTAGAGAGGTTACGTGCGTTTGTTGAGCGGTGTTCCACAAGTACATAACATCCCTGTCTGTCTTTCACAGGTGAACGGTAGATCGATAAATTTTAGGTCTATTCCACTATGAACATTTCGTGGATACCACAAGCATTTAGTGGAACATTTCCTGGAAATTTGTCAGAAGTTTGTCGGTGAAGTCGATGTCAGGAACAATCGTGCGTCGAGACCACCAGTAGTCGGACACGGTTTGACCTTTGAATACGATTGCAGCAACTAGTCTGCGTAGCAGTAGAAAGGAATCTATCTCTCGGGGGCTGTATTCTCTTGTTCTAGAAATATTCCGGAAGCATGCTAGGTCAAGCTCGACCGGGACATCTACGTAGAACGTGTGTAGCTTCTGGAAACCTTCTGGAAACATTCTGCAAGCTTCTGGAAGCGTTCTAGACCCAGAATCGTTCTGGAAGCATTCTAGATCTTTCGTGTGATGGGCGTATTTGTCCGGTATTCGAGGAGGGTGGTGCAGCCCTAAGCTCGCCACTCCTCTCGCTCCTCTTCAGTACCAGCAACATCAATCTGACTAGGGAGTCAGCAATAAAAAAAAACATGTTTATGTTTCCATTCCAAGTCTCTCGCGGTTGGAGCTGCACAGAGGGTGAACCTGCAGGAACCAGGAGACTGTTCTGAGGTAGGCTACACACCCTCCTGGCATCTGCAGCATCGTACTGCAGCTAGTGCACAGCGAAATTACGATCACAGGTTGCGAGCCTCGGCGAACGCACTCACTACGTGCGATACCACCGCTGCGGCAGCAGTGGGAACCTCTGTGGTGTACTAGCAGCAAGGGTCACGTGCGCGGGAGTCTCAAGCGGCATACGCATCGAGTGTATGAGGAACCACACTGTATCATCAGTGGAGGCGATCAGCAACCCGAGTCCACTACATCAGTGGCAGGAGCGGGATCGGAAACAAGGAAACCACAACCCGAGTCCTCTATATCAGTAGCAGGACAGGGTGGGGAAGTCTCGGGTACAGGAAGTAGTACCACGAGCAAACTTACTCCTGCAGCAGGAAGTACTTTTATCAAGACGAAGAAAATAAGGCTGGAACGAGCAATGGATACCGCAACGAGCACCACAGGAGAACAGGGTTTTCGCACGATTGGGAGCGAAGTTTCCGATTGAGAGCGAGAACCAAAAAAAACGAAATTCGGGTCCAGACGCCTCCCGTCATTTCTCGGGAAGCAGGGGACGGGCTCTTCCAAAAAGCGGCGCAAATTGAAGCTCTCTTCAACAGCTTCGCGTGCATATGCATGTCACTGCGATCGGCTGCAGCAGCGAGGAGCTACGCACGTTGCTAGATTTCCCCAGATTGGCTATTCCTGCCCGAAACTGTTTCAGGGCGCCGTCGCCTGGCGCGGTAGGCCCTCCCGTAGCTTCTGCTCCGCGGTGTAGCTCCACAACGCGAGACACCCGCAGGATGACCCGGGTATCGGCTTGTAGCTATGGGCAAGCCCTTCAATTCAAGCCGCACAGCAAGCTCTACCTCTCAGCAGTAGACAAGCTACATCGTATCGCACGATCTCGCACTCAATCAGATACTTCGCTCTCAATCGTGCGAATATGTTGTTGGAGGTGGAAGCGCGTTCGCCAGCGATTGTGCTACGAACCTGGCAACCGTGATCAAAGGCCTCAAGAAATTCCACGGAAAGCACCCAGCTGAGTTCAAGACATGCATGAAGAAATTCCGCCCGGCGGGGCGTGACCAGGAACGACATCCTGCCACTGCTGAAGAAACAAAGGAAGCCAGATCCCGCAGACACAGCGGCCTTCGACTCCTACACAAGGGCAAACGAAGATCTCTAGGCCGTTCTTTCCCTCCTAGCGGAACTTCCAGCCGCCTTGTCGGTACAGAAGCACGAAGACGACTCTGGCATCAGCGGCGCCGGACAAGCTGCCCTCGAGGAGCTCTGCAACAACTATGACAGGGTAACGGACGAGGTCATCAGGGCCAAGATGGTGGGACACGAGGGATTTCGTGCCAGATGGATGGACGTTCTGCTCGAACGTGATGTTGAGGGTGCACATGCCTTGGTCTCGCGGACCTTGTGAGAGTGGAATAACCTTGCCTTGGATAGTGAGGTGCGGAGTGCTCTCTTCGACGACGCAGCGCAATCCCTTTTTCAGGAGGGAGGTGGGCGACAAAATGTTGCGACCAAGTCCCGGAACGACGAGTCCCTGAATCCGCACGCGCAATTGCTGTCCTCGATTGTCCTTGACGGTGCAGTGTAGGATGCCCGGGGCCGTGCCTGTGAGTTGGCTTTCTCCGGCCACGTCCACGATCTTTGGAGAGTTTTACTGGGTGTAATCGTGGAGGTTTCCGTCGGGGATGAGGCGATTGTCAAACATCGTCTCCGATGCTCCCGCGTGTACCAGCAGGCCTGCCCCGGTGGAGCTCGCGGCGAAGTTGCGTCCTGAGATGCGGGAACACGTGCCGAACATGAAGCCGCTGTCAAAGGCTTCCTCGTCCCGGGTGGAGTCGAGCTATGTTTTTTCGGCCTCGACAGTCAGACCTACCGGGTATTGAATCCATCCAACGGGGCCGTGGTCTTGAGCCGGAATGCGACTTTCATCGAATCTCCACCCCGGTCAGTACACTGAAGCAAACGGGTACGAGAGATCTACCAACTGGACGTGGTCGGTGCCTTTCTCAACGCCCTCTGCGACAGAGACGTGTACGTCAGACCCGCCCCCGGTACATCCGCCAAGAACTCCGCGACGGGAGAACCCTGGTGTACAAACTAAAACCGAGCCTCTACGGCCTATCGCAGTCGCCAGCGCTCTGGAACGACACCCTGGACAAGTCTCTCACGGTGTTCGGATGGAAAAGTACTCAATCCGACCCCTGCGTGTACATGTATGCCAGCGGCAACATCATCGTGATTCTCACGGTCTACGTAGACGACGTTCTCATCACCCGAGGAGGCCAGCAGCTCATGGACCAGAAGAAGGAGGAGCTCACGGATCGATTCGAGATGACCGACATGGGAGAGGTAAAGCGGATCCTCGGGATCGACGTAGAGCGGGACAACGAGCAAGAAACCCTGGCCATTTCACAGGAGCACTACGTGAACACACTCCTGGATACGGAACGAAAATTTCCACGAATCAATCTCAGGATCAAATGCTAGGACCCACGGACAAGAAAACCTACCAGTCGATGACGAGAAGCATCCTCTACCTGGCCCAGGGCACCCGAGTCGACCTCTCTTACGCGGCCCTACAACTGTCCAACGCCTGCAGCAACCCAGCGCAGGTGAACAAGACAGCAGCCAAGCACGTTCTGCGATACCTTCGGGGTAATCCAGTTCTTCCTATCGTCTACAGGAGAGGACAGTCAGTTTCGGCTAGCGGCGTTTACGGATTCATCCTTCGGAGCAAACCCCGACAACGGAAGATCTACCACGGGATATCTCTTCTTCCTGGCAGGATGACTCATCAGCTACGGTGCGAAGACTCAAACTCTAACCGCACAAAGCACGGGCGAAGCCCTGATTCAAGCACTTAGCTACTCAGCCAGAGAGGCGATCCCTATCTTAAACTTTACGACGGAACTCAACTTCAATACCTTCGGATCGGTTCCCATCAACAGCGACAGCACTGGAGCGCTGACAGTGGCCAGGAATGCCATGCACTCTCAACGCACGAAGCACGTGGCCCTGAGGTTCTCTTTCACCCGGGAGCTAGTACTGCGGGGACAAATCACTCTTCACCGGCCCAGCGAGCACCAGTTGGCTGACATCGCGACCAAGCACCTACCAAAGCACCGATTCGTCTTCATCATGCAAGCAGATCATGGAATTTCCAGAATATCTGCTAAGCCTCCTACCATACGCGTCAAGCAAGCAGGAATTCGTTTTGGATACGATGCCAACGGAGGGGTCGAGGTAGAAATGGATATGGTGATGCGGTTGACCATTGTGAATTAGTTGCTTGACGGAGGGGTCGTGTCAGGAAAAATCCTGCGTCGAGACCACCATTAGTCGGACACGGTTTGACCTTTGAATACGATTGCAGCAACTAGTCTGCGTAGCAGTAGAAAATAATCCATCTCTCCGTGGCATGCATTCTCTTGTTCTAGAAATATTCTAGGTCAATGTCGACCAGGACATCTACGTGGAACGGGAATAGCTCCAGGGAACCTTCTGGAACTTCTGGAACCTTCTGGAAGCGTTCTAGACCTAGGTTGCACTTGATACTCTTCTACAACGTAGGAGGGCTTCCAGAATCATTCTGGAAGCGTTCTAGATCTTTCGTGTGATTGGCTTTTTTGTCCGGTATTCGAGAAAAGTGGTGCAGCGCTGAGCTCGCCATTCCTCTCACTCCTCTTGAGTACCAGCAAAATCGATCTGACTGGGGCGTCAGCAATAAAAAGAAACATGCTCATATTTCCATTCAATGTCTCTCGCGGTTGGGGCGCACAGAGTGTAAACCTCTGAGGTAGGCTACACAGCCTCCTGGTATCTGCAAAATCGTACTGCTGCTAGTGCACAGCGAACTTACGCTGACAGTATAAAGCGTAAAAACGTGACCTTTTCGTGGAATTCTTGGTTGGTCAATATATAGTCTGAGGCAAGGTTGCAAAGGTACAGGTAAGTCTGCTGCTGTAGGAAGAAATTGGGACTGGGTTTGTTACCGGTCGTTTGTTGATGTGTACGCCACAGCTCAATCTTATGTATTTTTTCTTGTCCTCTGAGTTTTTGAGCATCACACGCATTGCATGCACAACGTGAACAGCAAGTTTGTTTTTGTCTCCTTCTGTAATACTGTCAACGATGCGCTGCAGACGGTGCTGCTGTAGCCTCTACACTACAGAACCATATGGAGGTGAACGCCTTTTCCAGCTTCGTGCCCTTGCAATGCTGTGCACAGTCTTCACCCACCACCCGTCCTTTCAGCGTAATGCTGAGCTGAAGGAGAGGGCGCCTGGCGCCCGAGCCTGTAGACCTTGTATATATTAATTTCTGTCAGAATCTTGACGTGTTGACTACAGTCTATCACCATTATATCTTGAAACGGAATCCATTGGGCTTTGTGAGTACTGCACATCGGAGAGGTTGACATACATACATAAGATTTGCATAGTGCGTGTTAAAATAATCCTCATGGTATGAGCGGTTGTTCCAAGTCAGACCCTAATCATTTGTGAAACAGTAGTGTAGGTCAATACGCGTCTTGCAGCCACTGATGACATTTGGGGTTAGAGCAGGCCAACATGATCGCGCATGCCATGGAATCCCACATGTGTGACAGGAGAACAGAGAAGTGAGGGCCATTTTTTCTAATGGCTCATTTATATCCGCACGACGTATTTGTGCGGGCGAAAATCAGAACGCCCATGCGAGAAGGCCGGCTCGGCGTGGTTCAAGTCTCAAGTGTCAGCTCTCGTACCGTTCCTATCCTTTGCAAGGCGCGCATCAATCCAGCAACATTAGCTTTTGGTACTTTCACAAACTTCGACAATATGTGAGTATCGCACGAACCGACGTCGCTGGCAACTACCTGAGACGTTCAAGGTACTCAATACTCCGAGTGTATCTGTTGAGACGCACACACGGTAGTCGCCATGTGAATACATCTTAACACTGAGGAAAACGACCACTTTTTTGCGAAATGGTCTTGCACACGCGCGAATTTCAAGTTCCTACAGGGTTCCGAGTACCACCATTTTTGCCCATTGGCGTGGGGGTGAGATGTCTAAGTGCTCCAAGCGCACCGCAGTCCCAATCCCACCACCATGTCTCAAAATGTCCACAACCGGGAAATCGAAAATTATTTTCTTTTGAGTACTGGAAGCACGCGACGGATGTACACGAGTGATCCCGTATATTGGCAAGCAAAACCGTATTAAATCGATGGACGCGTCACCAGCCGGTGGGAAGGGAGCGTGTAGCCCTACCGTATGCATATACGCGATTCCCGTTTCTCCTACGGCTTATGCCTCTCAATTGCCTCAAGCGATTCTAAATGAGAAATAGTGTTTTTACGCTTTCCTTTGTTGTTGGTCTTCATGCTGGATGATATTTATCATTTCAGATCACGATCATCGCCTGGTATGGCCATACCGTTCACTCCATGGCCAAAGATGAATAAAATTGTATGTGCGATATCCGCGACGACATTGTAGACCCTTCCTTTCCTGATACGTGTTCATCCCGCCTTTGGCGCTTTGACCTACTCTCAGGCGGGGATTGTTACATGTAGACACATTCTGGCGATGTCTCCGCGACGACACGGCTGGCTGTGATTCACTGGTCAGGTGTAATTGTAGAATTTTCAATTAAAGTATCGATGATTTTTCTCAGCGCTTTGTGACGCTTGGCATGCTACAGTGACTTCTTGCACGGATGGCGTGTCGGCGGTTGATGCACGCTTGTGCCGAAAATAACTTCGCTTCACTCTTCTTACGTACCGAGTGTGAAAACTGCTGAGATGCTGCAAGTCAGCGCTGACTTATGGCATACATTATACGAACTTATATGGCAGAAGAGCTTATGACGCGGTCATCTTAATTCTTGCATGCATTCAGCTTTTTTTTTTTACCTTTTCTTGTGTTTTGTTGCCCATTCTGATCCATTACAAGAGTTCGGCACGTCAAAATCCACAAATGCTGGAAAAAATGGCATAGACTACAACTATTGTAGTGCACCTTTTACCACGCCTGTTCAACAGATGACAGTGGTGTACAGCATGAACCTGCCTGCAGACAGATCACACGCTGCAGAAATATCACTTCCGTACTTACGTCGTGCATCTGTACATAGACTATATTACCTACAGCATGAACCGTCATTCGCACGTATGGATACATACGTGTCTGTTTTAGTTAAGTCTACATTTCTACAGCGCAAACCGTCATTCAAACGTGCGTATCGATACGTCTCTGTATACCCCGCCAGCGGTATGTCGTCGTGGCGATTATTGTAGCCGAATCGCCTTTCAACTCGAATCTCACCGCCTATTTATCCAACCACATCATCACACACATAATTGAAAACGAAAATTCCGAAACGATAGCAGTTATTCCGCACAGAACCCTCCGCCAATATGCCCGAAGGGTTCACATTTTTTCCACTCCACCTACTACCTCATCCGAAACGACAAACCTACAACTTTATTCTGCTTTCATCACGCGTAGCTCGAAGTGTACCACCGACAACTTCATCCAGATAGACACCGACAACGAAAACCTGCAGCTGTCATCACGCGTACCTTCAGGTATGCCGCCTTCGCAACAATACACCAGGAGTAAACGACCAATAGTCAAGGATGCTTCTTCGTCCCCCAAGACAAGCCCTCCCTACATAGAGTACGCGATTCTGCCATAGCTGGATGATCGACCTACCTCCATACTTTCATTTTTACAACACTTGCAACAACCAAGTTTATGTCGTTTTTACCAGTGCGTTGCATGTTGCGGTCAACTCATGTCCTGAAACATGGCCGGACCACCGTCCGATCGTTTACCGGATAAACCACGTAATATCGACTTCTTCTGCCACGTGTACAACCACAATTTGAAGAATCTTGAGCAGGTCTTTGGTGTTGGCCGGGACCAAACATTCAGGGTGGCAACAGTATGCAAGTTGGACCGTCAATGACATAGTCTAGTGTTAAGTCTTACTCCACAAATATCGGTGTGTGTACCAGCAAGCGGCAGTAGACATACTCAAATGCATGACGTGCGGTCTTACGTAGTTCGGTAGCAGCAACAGACGCGAATGTAGTCTATTAGCAGTAGGTTGTATTTTGCGTTTAGCTCATCTATTGAAACATGGCCGAACCATAGTCCGACCGTAACCCGGACAGTAGTTACACGTATGCATACTTATGGTTTCTTCTGCGGTGTCTTTTCTTCATGCGCGTTTCCGATCTTCCGCGTTCATTTCGGCTTCTCCTTTAGGCGTAAGTCATTTTCGTACAATCCAAGTGCGATGGTGCCGACATTGTATTAACGGACTCCAAAGTATTTGTTGCGAAAAATGTTACGCCAAAGTAATTGTTCTCGATACATTCACATGAAAATTACGACCTTTCTGCTTAATTCGTGGCCGCCGTGTCCGTGTCGGCCAAGGCACGGCTTATCACAAAATAGTATAGATTTGTCTCCAGGTGACCGTCCCGCCTCATCGGTGGGCGGCCGCTTTTACGCTTGTTGTGGAAATGCTGTACATCTTAACAAAAACCTGATCTCCGTTTTGTATTTCGAAGGGGAAAACACGTAGAGCAAACACGAGAGAGGGTGCAAGGATCCCATTTTCGACAACACCGCTGTTAATGTGAAGCGAACAAAGACACTGTACGCAGTAGCTATTGACGCCCAAAGGGTACGACGGGACCAAAGTCGAAAAATAAGGGTAGCAAGTGCGAGACGATCACAATAAATATGATTGCGGAAGTCTTGTCGCCTGTTGACAAATATACGCTTTGATCCCTCTTTTCAAGTCGAACCCCAACATGCGTCTAGAGTTGGAGGCAACTACAGGCTCCCCCGTCCACTGGAGCCCGAATGACACGCAAGGTGAAAGGCACACAAACGGCGACATTGACGATGCAGGGCTGGGCAACGTTAAGTGTGTTCTGTATGGCTGGCTACAAT